TGATGTCATGTCCGCCCTTTGGCTACAGGTATCACCATCCCTTGCATATGCAAAATACACTCATCTCCTTCCCCAAGGCCTCCAACATCCCAGCCCTTTACAGCGTCGGCACAAAATCCAGGGTCTCATCATCGATGCCAGGTCTGTAAAGGACCCCCACTGTATTCCTCACGTGCATTCACTCAAGTACAATTCCTACAAACTAAAGGGGTCAAATTCCCTGCTCCACATACCCAACATTTTAACGTAATGGGGAGGAAAGAAACCACGATAGGCCTTTCTGATTGAAAAGTTGGAAACTAGGAAGCACATTAGCCGTCAAAGCCAACACAGCTAAAATCCAGCTGCTAGTGCACCAATTTTCCTGCTAGAGGGAGGCAATGTACTTCAAGTAGAGCTGAGTGTTTGTTCTATGTTCTTGCCTCTCCCTCCATCCTCTAGACTCCATCCTGTGAGTCACCCTTCCTTTCCCCTGAAAAATGGTTCATGTTTTCATCTAATTACCTCTCTTAGTCAGCTTCCTGGACATAGAAGGTTGATGTTCCAGAGACTTCTTCTAATTCTGAATTGTCCCCTTTATTCAGAGCTGACAATGATTCCACCTATACAATTCTCTTAAATACTTGGTGGATTTCCCACAAACCTTGTGGGGGTCTCACTCCATTATACAGAAGATATTATCACAAGTTTCTCAGTCTCACTGAAAGAGTCAATGAGGCATGTCTTAAATCCTTTTCAAGTCTCAATAAAAGGTATGAAATCCACACTTTTTGTAGGGTCCAGCCCTACAGGGTCCTTGGAGCCACTCTCTGCTGGTGTGGAGATGAGAAACTGTAGAAATAAAAGGCACAAGACGCAGAAACAGAGAAAAGAGAGTTTGGGCCCAGGGATCCCCTGCCAACCAAAGCGTGGAGTCTGGCAGTGGCCCCGAGTGCCTGGACACTCTGACTTTTATTGAGTACAGAACTGGGGGCAGGGCAGGTAGGGCGTGGCCTTGGTGGTCGGTGAGAGGGTGAAGTACATTATGTGTCATACAGGTAGGGGCCCAGGACTTTCAGGAAGCCGAGATGAGATAAGGAGCACAGTGCATCAGCACTTTTCCATAATTGACAAGAAAAAACAAAGACATTAAGATTTATGTTACTTTTACTGATTATCCCTTCTAAGAACAAAGGAACCAGGTACAGGAGCAGAACATGAGAGTGGACATGGAACGTGACCGCTGAAGCAACCATCACATAGAGACAGTTAAACCCCTGGATGTCTGCGGGCCTCCTGACAGCCCTCAGGCCGACTGCAAGAGCCTGGAGGAGCGGAGTTTTATCCTAACTCCTTCGGGGAAGCAGACATCTCTGACATCTTCTTCTGCAGCTTGCTAAACAGCAGGCGCTTTCCCAGCGCTGGCTCTGCCGAACAGCCAAAGCGCCTTCCAGCAACCCTTACACAGGCGTGACGGAGGGCTTAAAGCATCAAGCCTTAGGGTCATTCCTTTCTCAAAGTCACCCCAGGTTCACACTTCATGACCTGAGAGGCATTAGGAAGAGAACTAAGATCACCTATGAATAACTAAGATCACATATAAATAACTAAGATCACCTGTGAATAACTACCATGGTCAAATCTGTAGTTATTTTCTTCTTCATTATTTGCATGGGAATAGGCTGAGGCTTCTGACTCCTGCCTCGGCACTTATGGGGTCTCCCCCCAATACTTTTAATCTGAGCTTTTACACTGAGTTCAATCTTTGCCATGAAGCATTTTCTTACTGTGAGCATTTTTTTTTGTTTGAAAGATGCACATGAGAAACACAGCCAAGTCCTGACACCTTCATAGCTTCTTTAAATTTTGCTCAAAAATAGGGCATTCCTTCACTATTTTATCTATATTACATTAACTGAAAGAAAGCAGTTGTCAATCATGCCAGTCGGCCTGAAAGTCTCTGCAGTCAAACCCACCAGCTCATGTAGTGTATTTTTTGGTGCCTGGTTTTCCCAAAGGATGTTTTAACTGACTTTTCTGTTGCTACATGACAGCACAGCTTTTTCCATCTTCCCATACATTCCCTCACTGGCCTTTAAGACTTTACTATCAGTCTCCTTGAGGTGCCTCAGCCCACACTTCTATCCCAAACATGGCTCTCCCTGTTTTAGGCTTTTGTTTGAGAGCACCTCATGTCAAAGGTGCTGTTCACTTCCCAGGCAGTGCAGCTGCTGGGCTGGGCAACAGAGAGGAAGTCCCTTCCTAATTTACAGAAAGGGCTGGGTGGGGGGTGCTCAGGTCCCTCAAGAAATTCTCCACGGCTCCACCTGCCCAAATGCCCCGTCATCCAGCCAAAGTTCCTCTTCCGCCATTTGGCCTGCCTTATCTTCTTGCCTTGAAATGCCTTCCTGTCTCACATTAATATTCTCTTGCAGCACTTTGCATAGAGTTACTGGTTTATACATCTCATTATTCTCATCTTGGTAAATTCTGGGTTGCACAGCATGAGATTTGTAGGGCTGTTGGCCCCACAGGGTTGTGGGGTGTCACTTATGCTGTGCTGAAGTGCAGGATCCGAGCAGTAAAGAGACAGGACACCGAAGAACTGGTGAAGAGCATTTGGACTTGGGGGTCCACGCCACCTGTGAGTGGAGATAGACGAGGCCCTGAACACGCAGAAGCGTCTGTATTTATTAGGTACAGGCAGGGGGAAGGGTCCTAAGTCAGGTCATCATCTATAGGCTTAATGATAGGGCATACATAATCTCATGAGTCACAAGCGAGGGGCCACCCCATTATGTCACCTGGGCAGAGAGGTGGGCTGTGCACTGTAGTAGAGGGCCGTGTACAGAAAAGGGGTCCACCCCCATTAGGTCACCAAGGCAAGGAGGTGGGCTATGTGTAACAGGTGTCGTGCGCAACACTTCTTATCTGGGGGCTGAGACTTCAAAGGGTTTCTAATAGAAGGATACTGTAAGCCAATGCAGTGGGAGCTGACAGACTTGTGCTCTTCTCTTAAGATATTTATGGGAGGATGATTTGAGCTAGCATGGAAGTGAGAAAAGACTGACAGGGTGTACAGCCACCGTGACTGCTCACACCAGAGGGGTTCTTCTCCCTCGGTTACTTCCAGGATCTCAGGCCTGAGGCCTACTTTCCACAGGAACTGGATGCAAGGTGCTACAACTCCTTTATCAGGAGGAGAGGCTCCTGCTCCAAGCCTGCCGTACAGCGTATGCCCTTTCAGGCAGGGACGCCACCGCCTGCGTCTCTGCTTCTTGTCCTGGTCCAGCTGTTTTCCCATGTACTGCTTCTGTTCTGTGACTGCTCTAGGCATTCCTCCTACTACAAACTACTATACGGTTGTATGGAAGGATTCTATAAATCAGCACTAAATGTGTCAGTACAGCTCCGACTACAATACCTATATGATCATATAGAAAGATTATATGGAACTAAGTGTGATTATACATATAAGCTAGATATAGTAAGCAGTGAGTTATGCTTCAGGCACTAAATGTGCCTGGGGTGTGCACAGTTGTCCTTCCTCGGTGCCCATGTGAGGTGTTACCCACAGGGCACGGTGGCTCACACCTGTAATCCCAGCACTTTGGGAGGCCAAGGCAGGTGGATCACAAGGTCAGGAGATGGAGACCATTCTGGCCAACTTGGTGAAACCCTATCTCTACTAAAAATACAAAAATTAGCTGGGTGTGATGATGCATGCCTGTAATCCCAGCTATGCGAGAGGCTGAGGCAGGAGAACCCCTTGAACCAGGGAGTCAGAGGTCGCATTGAGCTGAAATTGCACCACTGCACTGCAGCCTGGAGACAGAGCAAGATTCCATCTCAACTCTCAGCTAATTTTTGTATTTTTAGTAGAGACGGGGTTTCACCATGTTGGCCAGGATGGTCTCAATCTCCTGACCTCATGATCCTCCTGCCTTGGCCTCCCAAAGTGTTGGGATTACAGGCGTGAGCCACAGCATCCAGCCAACTCTTGCTATGTTTCAGCAAAGAGACTGGCAGCATTTTGTCCCTGCCCTAGAGACTTGTGGAACTTTCAACTTGAGAGAGATGATTTAGGGTATCTGGCAGAAGAAATTTCTAAGCAGCAAAACATTCAAAAGGTGACTTGGATGCTGTTAAAAACATTCTGCTTTAAAAAGGGAACAGAGCATAAAAGCTCAGACAGTCGGCAGCCTGACAATGCAGTAGTGAAGAAAAACCCATTTTTCGAGGGGAAATTCAAGCCGGCTGCAGAAATTTGCATAAGTAACAAGGAGTCAAATGTTAATCCCCGAGACCAGGGGGAAAATGTCTCCAGGCCAAGTCAAAGAGCTTCACGGCAGCCCCTCCCGTCACAGGCCCGAAGACCTAGGAGGAAAAAGTGGTTTCGTGGGCCCCGGGTCCACGTGCTTTGCGCAGCCTAGGCACTTGGTGTCCTGTGTCCCAATCGCTCCAGCTATTGCTGAAAGGGGCCAACATAGAACCTGGGCTGTGACTTCAGAGGGTGGAAGCCCCAGGCCTTGGCAGCTTCCATGGTGTTGAGCCTTCGGATGCACAGAAGTCAAGAATTGAGGTTTGGGAACCTCTGCCGAGATTTCATAAGTATGGAAACACCTGGATGCCCAGGCAAAAGTTTGCTGCAGGAGCTGGGCCCTGATGGAGAACCTCTGCTGGGGCAGTGCAGAAGGCAAATGGGGGGTCAGAGCCCTCACCCAGAGTCTCTACTGGGGCACTGCCTAGTGGAGCTGTGAGAAGAGGGTCACCCTCCTCCAGACCCCGGAATGGTAGATCCACTGACAGCCTGCACTGTGGGCCAGAAAAGCTGCAGACACTCAATGCCAGCCTGTGAAAGCAGCCGGGAGGGAGTCTGTACCCTGCAAAGCCACAGGGGTGGAGCTGCCCAAGACCATGGGAACCCACTTCTTACATCAGCGTGACCTGGATGTGAGACCTGCAGTCAAAGGAGATCATTTTGGAGCTTTAAAATTTGACTGCCCTGCTGGGTGTTGGACTTTCATGGGGCCTGCAGCCTTTTCATTTTGGCCAGTTTCTCCCATTTGGAATGGCTGTATTTATCCAATCCTGTATGAAAATGCCTGTACATTGTATCTAGGCAGTAACTAGCTTGCTTTTGACTTTCCAGGCTCATAGGCAGAAGGGACTTGCCTTGTCTCAGATGAGACTTTGGACTGTGGACTTTTGGGTTAATGCTGAAATGAGTTAAGACTTTGGGGGACTGTTGGGAAGGCATGATTGGTTCTGAAATGTGAGGGCATGAGATTCGGGAGGGGCCGGGGCAGAATGATATGGTCTGGCCATGTCCCCACCCAAATCTCAACTTGAATTGTATCTCCCAGAATTCCCATATATTATGGGAGGGACCCAGGGGGAGGTAATTGATTCTCTTGACAGTCAATAAGTCTCATGAGATCTGATGGGTTTATCAGGGGCTTCTGCTTTTGCTTCTTCCTCATTTTGTCTTGCTGCCGCCATGTAAGAAGTGCCTTTCACCTCCCGCCATTATTCTGAGGCCTCCCCAGCCATGTGGAACTGTAAGTCCAATTAAACTTTTTTTCTTCCCAGTCTCGAGTATGTCTTTATCAGCAGTGTGAAAATGGACTAATACACATGCTTTATTGGTGATCAAGAGGTGTTTTAAATTTTTCTATATGATTGTGGATTTCTCTGCTTCTCTCTCAGACTCTGCAACTTTGTTTTCTGTAGCTTGAGGCTGGCATCTTCCTGTGGGCTAGGCCCTGTGCTGCCAGCTGACCCTGGTCTGCTGAATTCCTTGCTCATGGTTCCTCCACCCGGTGTTGATGCAGCCACCCCAGCTTTCCAGGCCTCCCTTTCCACTTACCCTTCTGTGGCCTGATGTTGAGGGTGTGTCCCCTGTGGGGTCCAGTCTGATCATCTTTATCTTTTAACTGAACTTTCTGTTCGTGTGTGTGCATGTGTCTGTATGTGAACGTGTGCATGTATGTCTATGCATGGGTGTATGCATGTGTCGGTGTGTGAATGTGTGTGCCTGTGCATATGTATGCATGTGCACATGTGTCTGTACATGTGTGTGCATGTGTCTGTGTGAATGTGTGCATGTGTGTGTCTGTGTGTGCATGTGTGTGTGTGCATATGTGTGCATGTGCACGTGTCTGCATGTTGTGTGCATGTCTGTGTGTGACTGTGTGTATGTGTGTGGATGTGTCTGTGTGTGCATGTCTGTGAATGTGTGCATGTGTGTGCATGTGTCTGTACATGTGTGTGCCTGTGTCTCTCTGTGTGTGCATGTGTGTGCATGTGCACATGTGTCTGTGCATGTCTGTATGTGAATGTGTGCATGTGTGTGTGCATGTGTCTGTGTGTGAACGTGTGCATGTGTGCCTTTGCAAGTGTGCACGTGTGCATGTGTGTCTGGGCATGTGTCTGTGCACATGTGTGTGTGTGTGATCTGAGGCATCTTGCCCTGACTGCTGCTTTCTGCTCCAGTTGCTCCTAGCTGAGCATCAGTGCAGCATCAGTGCACCCCCACACACCTGGACACCACTCCAGAGACTTCTGAGCAGAGGCTGACAGTGCAGGGGGACTTAGTGGCGGGTCTCTCGTGCTGGCCATGGTCGGTGAGCTGTCCAGCTCTCCTCTCCCAGATCTCCCAGGGGCCAGCAGTCTTCCCCTAGCCACAGGGCCTGGGGCACTTCAGCCCACCTGGGCAGATGTTTGCCAGGCCCATGGGGACCAGCAGGCTCCTGCAGGCTCTCCCAGAGTCACATGCAGCAGTGTGGCTGGCAAGCCCCACTCTGGGGGAACTCTGCTGCTGCCAGCCAGGCCTGTGGGACAAGCACCATCTGACATCTTTGCTGAAGGCCTGGAGAGGAGCATCCCCTCCTCTCTCCTCAATGCTGCAGCAGAACCACACGTAGAGAGGGCTGGGGTGTGCAGTCCAGGCAGACCCCCGGATTTTCCTGCCATACTGCACAAGCGTTCATTTAATCTTGCTTTTTTAGGCAATACTTTAAAAATGCAAAGTCCCAACAATCATCTTCCACTTGAGGAGCCAGATCATTCTAATTTGAGCGGAAGCTGCTATGCCCTGCCCTGTGAATGCTGCGGCCCACACAGCTGACAAGGACAAACTGTGTATTTCCATTCCAATTCTGGGAGTGCTCTGTGGCCTCTGGGGGGAAGGACCCATGAAATATTCAAAACATAAATGAATAAAATATCTAGGTGCTAGATAGGGGCCAGGAAGTGTGTGCGATGGTGTACGATGGTGAGAAGCTGCTGGAAGAGATGGTTCCTGTTTTTGGTTCATTCCTCGGACATTTATCAAGCTGACGAGTGCAGCAGAGATGCTTCAGTAGGCTGTAATTCCACCACTGGTCTGCTGGCTAGAGAGATACCTGCGGCCTTCACATCTCACGGGCTCCCAGACGCTGGGGCTGCCCTTGTGTGGTGTCCCCAGAGGGCCCTGCAGGTGTCACGCCGCTGCTCCACACTGCCACCTGCTGTCAGCACCTATGCCATGTATGCAGGTCTGGGGCTAGAGCGAAAAACGCATCTGGTAACCAATGAAATCGGCTTGTCATGGTGCATTCGTCCATTCTCATGCTACTCTAAAGACATGCCTGAGACTGGGCAATTTATAAAGAAAAGAGATTTAATTGGCTCACGGTTCTGCAGACTGTGCAGGAAGCATAACAGCTTCTGCTTCTAGGGAGGTCTCAGGAAACCTGCAGTTATGGTGGAAGGTGAAGGAGGAGCAACTCACATGGTGGGAGCAGGGAGGAGTGCCGCACACGTTTAAACAACTGGATCGCCTGATAAGTCACTCACTATCACGAGAACAGCACCAAGACGCTGGCGCGAGCCCACTCTCAAAGGACCGCCGCCATGATCCAACCCCCTCCCACCATTCCCCACCTCCAACGTTGGGGATTACGGTTCGAGGTGAGATTTGGGCGGAGGGGACACAGGTGCAAACCATGTCACCTGCTGTCTTTCTGCATCTTCCAATTAGACATCAAAGGTTGGTTTGCTACCAGAGTCACTTCTGTAATCCGGGGTTCCATATGTAGAAAACAAAAGCCCAGGTGGGGAAAATGAACACAAGCATTTTGTTTCTTACCCTGGAGCCAATTCTGGAGGTTGCCAGCAAGCACACAGACCCACAAGGGCAAGCTTGGCACATGCCCTGGAGTGCTGGTCTCGCTCCTCGATACGCAATCCAAAGCAGTATTTTCATGCAAACATGTGTGCTCATGGCAGGGAGCTGCATGGGCTTTCAGGTGGAGCCGGTGCTTCAGGGAACCTCACCCTCATCCTGACACCCATCAAGCAGAGCATACCCCAAGCAGGCTGCAGCGGCGTGGGAGGGGCTGGCACTGGCCCTGAGTGCAGGGGAGCCCTGCCTGCCTGCTGCCTCCCGCTAAGCTTGCCTGGGTTCCCGCCTATGGACCATGGGAACTCCCCTAGCACAGGAAGGGAGTCTGAGGACCAGTGTGACAGCAGCTGCCCCCTGACTGCACAGCACTGTTCACTTCTTCTCACATGCTCCCACCAGACCAGGTCAGCCCTTCTCTTACTGAGGGGCCAAAAAGTTCCCCCCAGGTCCAGTCGAGGACTCCAGGTAATGTTCATTCCTCTGCCAGTCCCAGCATCTCCCTTCTCAACATCTGGCATCCTGGGATGTACCCTAAAATTCTCTCACTCAGAGCACCCTAACTATGGCTGTGGTGAGCAGGGGAGGGGGGATCAGGTCGGTGGGCTGCAGGGGGGCTCCTGGAGCGGGGACGGTGTTCTGAGCTATGTGCCTGCAGCTGGGCCCTCAGTAGTGGGGGCAGTGTCTGCGCCCTCACCAGGCTTTGCAGATAAGGGTTTATTGAAGATGATGGGAGTGACCCACACCATCCCCGCTGAGGGGTCTGTTGAGGGGGCTCCCCCTAGAATGTAGGCGAGAGGGCAGCACCATGATGGTGAGGGTGGTCACCCCGGAACCACAGTAACATCTGCAGGGGCCTTCCCCCAGTGGCAAGCACTTCTCGGAGCCTCAAACTCACCCTCAGCTTTCAACTGTGGGGACCCAACGTGTCTCCTGGTAGAGTCCTCACTACCTCGGCTAAAACTTCTGAAAGCTGCAAGTCTGGGCTCCCTGGCTGGGACAGCACCGGCCCTGGGTGGGTCATTAGCGTTGAGTTCCCACCGCCGAGCGCCCAGGTGCTTTCCGAAGCGGCTGCGTGCAGGGTCTCTGGGAAGCCGGCAAGCCCAGCTGATTCTGTGTCTTCCTGCCGGCCGGGAGGCCAGAACCACTGTGTGGGCAATTCTGCTCTCACGAAAGGGGCTGGCAGAAGCCCACAGTGGGGCAGTTAGGCAGGGAATGCAAGTCCACGTCCAGAGCAAGGGTGACTCCAGCTCCTTTGGGACGGAGACACCAGTGCGACCCACCATCCCAGGCCCCTGCGGCCCTGGCTGCTCCTGACGGAAAGAGGGCCACATCGCCCACGCTGTGCCTGTTCCCTCTGGGCTGCCATGGCCCCTGGAGCCATTCCTGGGACAGAGCAGAGAGGAGGCTGATGACAATCACACAGGGTGGACCGAGCTTGGCCCTCCCAGACACCCATGTGCTCCCTCCTCAGACTCTCGCAGGGCTGCAGTCATGGTCTTGCTCCCCATCCCATCTGCAGGCTGCCCCTGCCTGGATGCAGACCACCCCGACACTCCCACGCCTCCGTCCAGGAGGACCTGGGCTCCACTTTATCCAGGGCCCCCTGTGATACACCAGAATTCATCCTGGAGTCCCAGCTACTCGGGAGGCTGTGGCAGGAGAATCACCTGAACGCTGGAGGCAGAGGTTGGTGTGAGCCAAGATTGCACCATTGCACTCTAGCCTGGGCAATAGAGGGCGACCTTATTTCAAGGAAAAAAAACACACACACACACACACACACACACACTATGCAAATTTCAACCACCCACGCCAAGCAGCACGTTCAGCAGAGCCACCTGCCCAAGGCGGGAACCTCTTCCTCCATCCGCAGCTCACGTGGAAATGGCAAAGCATGTGTCACCTGACGTGCTCCTGGAGACCCTCTCAGGCCTGGTCTCCTGCCACTGCCTCCCCCTGACATTGGGGGTTGCTGGGAGTGCCAGCCTGTAACGCTCGTTGTGATGGCACCTGTCTGGTGCAATAATTCAGACATTTGTCTCCCCAGCCTCATGCTGAAATCTGAACCCTGACGTTGGATGCGGGGCCTAACAGGTGTTGCGGTCATGAGTGCATTCCTGCTTTTCTCCTCCTCACAAGGACTGATTGCTACAAATGCGCGGCACCTCCCCTTCCCCTTGCTCTTGCTTCCTCTAACATAGGGTCTGCGGGCACCTGCTCCCATCACCCTCCTCCATGAGTGGACACTTCCTGAGGCCTCACCAGAAGCAAATACTGGCACCATGCTGCTTGTACAGTCTGCAGAACTGTGAACCAAATAAATCTTCTCTTAATAAATCACCCAACCTCCCAACACACATCATCCGACACACCAAACAGCTCCTTGGTCAACCTCAGATTCAGGGCCCACCCGAGAGCTATTTCCTTGAAGGGAGAATAGGAGAGTTGTTTGCTGAAGAGGACGTGGTTTTGCTCAAGATCCCTGCAGCCCTCCACTATGGCTCTCTGATTCTTCTCGCTGAGCTTGTGGCACACCTGACAGACACCTCAAGCATGGCCAGGCAGCAGACGCTGGGTGAGAGGAAGAGGCTGAGCCCAACTTGTCTGTTGGAAATACATGCTCGGTGCCACAAAGAAAGATCAGCACTGAGACAAAGGATCTTTCAGCAATGCAATTTTTACTTCCTGGACTGCGGAAAAGTACTCTCATTAGCCGTCATGTCACGAGAGTACAGTGAACAAAGGAAAACACACAAATTTATTTCTTACGCATTTGGGGTCGTCCTCACTGCTGTGTCTGATCTCCGTTGGCTGGAGCCAGACCTCACAATCTAAACTAAAACCCAATTGGCTAAAAACTTAAAACTTTTCTAAACAGGTAAAAGCAATGGAGAGCTGGGACATGCCTGTGAGCACGTCCAGCACAGATATCTTGGTCAAAGCACAAGGAACACAATGTACTACGTGCCTGTAAGCATGGCATGTCTAACAGCTACACAGGATAGGGCTTCACAAAGTTATTAGCACACTTATCCTTTAACAAGAAAGGAAACTTTAGAAGGGAACTTTTCAATTCCCACATTATCCCTCCTCAGACCCCAGCATTGCCAAGACCAGAGTCCTCCATAAAGACCTCACAAAGAAGCAATTGCTGCATGGTTTTGCACAATTAAGTATGTGCACATCTTAAGGAAAGGATCTAAAACCTTTCAGCAGGATCTCCCTCCAGGGCAGGGAGTGACTGGTCAGCAGCCTCACGTACCTGGAAATTGTCCACATCAGGCAAAGTGGTGGGAGAGACGCAGGTGTTTCTACCAGCATTTAAAAGAAAGGAAAGAAAGTTATGGACAAGAAGCCTCCCTGCTGTATCAGGCTTTAGCGTTTGGATGGACCTGGCCTCTCTTGGAAGCAAATCCCTGGATGGAACTCATGTATCTTTGGGCCCCCAAAGGCAGCCTGACCTTGACACTGAGTGCAAAGCAGACTCAGCTGCTTGTGTTTAATGGGGATTTGCATAGTTTTGTGTATATGTGTGTGGCTTTTTTTTTTTTTTTTTGACTGAGTCTTGCTCTGTCGCCCAGCCTGGAGTGCAGTGGTGAGACCTCAGCTCACTGCAACCTTCACCTCCCAGGTTCAAGTGATTTTCCTGCCTCAGCCTCCCGAGTACCTGGGATCACAGGCATGCGCCACCATGCCCGGCTAATTTTTGTATTTTTAGTACAGACGGGGTTTCACCATGTTGGCCAGGCTGGTCTCAAACTCCTGACCTCAAGTGATCCTCCCGCTGTGGCCTCCCTAAGTGCTGGGATTGCAGGAGAGAGCCACCGCGCCCGGCTGGCGTTTTGTCCGTGCTATTACGTGGTGCACTGGGCACAGCCAGCCAGACCCACTCCACCCCGTTACTTTAGTCTCTGATGTAGACATTGTGTGGCGGTGGAACGGCCTCGCCAGCCTCACCTGAGACTTGGCAGAGGACGGGTATGAGCAGCCCTAGAGGAATGTCCCCAGGGCCCACTGCAGAGGTGACACGATCCACACCATCCCCACTGAGGGGACCCACACAGTGACCCTTCCCCACACCCCGCCCCAGCCGGCCACTCGGACCAGAGAGACGTTGGGGAGGAGGCAGAGTGATGTTATCGAAGTGCCCTCCCAGAAACATCTCCTTTATCCACCATCCTTTTCAACCCACTGGGCTTGGTCAGGAAGCCACTGGTCAGCAGGGGGGTGGGTGCGGTTGGGGGTACCCCTATGTCCTGTGAGGCCCTAGCAGGCACTCCAGCTTGGGATTCCCAGAGCGTCTGAGGTGGTAAGAGCAGGACAACAAACCTCCTCCAAGGTTTTCAGTGCTTTCCTCAATGGACACTCCTCCCTATGCTGTTCCCATCTCAAATGTTATCTGTTGTTTTTTTTTCTAAGGAGATAACCAGAGGTTGGAAATCGGATCAAAGGTCAGTGTGGATCTTAACATCATTATTCATCAGGGAAGTGCAAGTCAAACCTAAGATGAGGTTCTCACACTAGCATGACTAAAATTTAAAAGTCTAGCTGGGGCTGGGCACGGTGGCTCATGCCTGTGATTCTAGCTCTTTGGGAGGCCAAGGCAGGAGGATTGCTTGAAGCCCAGGAGCTCAAGATCAGCCTGGGCTCTGGCAAAGCAAGGCTCTGCCTCTACAAGAATTTTTTTTTTTAATTAACCGCATGTGGTGCACATGCTGGTGGTCACAGATATTTGGGAGGCTGAGGAGGGAGGATCACTTGAGCCCATGAGTTTGAGGCCTGGTGAACTGTGACATGCCAGTGCACTCCAGCCTGGGCAGCAGAGTGGGACCTCATGTCTTAAAAAGAAAGAAAAGAGAAAAGAAAACAAAAGAATGGAGAGAAGAGGAGAGGAGAGGAAGGAAACGATATTTCAATTATTTTAGATTTGTTGAGACTTGTTTTTTTGTGGTCTATCCTGGAAAATGTTCCATGTACTGAGGAGAAAAACATATATTCTGTGCAGCTGTTGGATGGAATAGTCTGTAAATGCCTGTTAGGTCCATCTGGTCTCAACCATAGTTTAAATGCAACACTTATTTGTTAATTTTCTATCTGGATGGTATGTCCAAGGCTGAAGCAGTGTGCTGTTGAAGACTCCAGCTGTTTTTATATTGCAGTCTCTTTCTCTCTTTAGATCTAATGGTGTTTGCTTTATATATCTGGGTGGTCTGGTGTTGGGTGGATATATATTTACAATGGTTATATCTTCTTGCTGAAACAGTCCCTTTATCGTTATATAATGACCTTCATCTCTTTTTAGTTTTTGACCTAAAGGGTGTTTTATCTGATAGAAATATAGCTACTATCGCTCACTTGGGTTTCTGTTTGCATGAAATATCTTTTTACATTCTACATCCCTTCACTTCTAGTCTATGTGTCTTTATAGGTGAAGCGAGTTTATTAGGGACAGTGTATAGTTAGGTCATTAAAAAAAAATTCATTCAGCCTGTCTGTATCTTTTAAGTGAGGAATTTCATCCATTTACCTTCAGGATTATTATTGGTGGGTGAGAATTTATTTTATAATTTTGTTAATTGTTTTCTGACTGTTTTGTATATCCTTTGTTTCTTTGTTCCTTTCTTCCATCTCATTATCCATCATCGAGGTTTGGTGGTTTCCCATAGCGATAAGGTTTCATTCTTTTCTCTTTTGTACATCTGCTTTACCAGTGAGTTTTAAACTTTTGTGTGTTTTCATGATTGTGATTATCATCTTTTCACTTCCAGATGTAGGACTCCCTTGAGCATTTCTTGTAAGATCAATCTAGTGGTGATGATTTCCCTCAATTTTTGCTTTTCTGGGAAATATTTTATTTCTTTCTCATTTATGAAGAATATATAGTATAGTATTCTTGGCTGACTTTTTTTTTCTTTCAACACTTTGAATATATTATCTAATTCTCTCTTGCCCTGTAATGTTTCTCTGGAGAAATCTTATGTTAGTCTCATGAGGATTCCCTTATATGTGACTTGATGATTTTCTCTTGCCATTTTAGAATTATTTGTCTTTTGCTTGAAAGTTTGACTATAATGTGCCTGTAAGAGGACCTTTTGGGGTTGAATCAACTTGAGGACTTTCAGCTTCCTAGATGTCAGTGTCCATATCTCTCCCCAGGTTGGGATTTTTTTAATTAGCTCTTATTTCATTAAATAAGTTTTCTTTGCCTTTCTCCTTCTCTTCTGCTTTTGAAATTCCCACAATATGAACATTTGTTCACTTAATAGTGCTACATGCTCCTTGTAGGCTGTCTTCACTCTCATTTCTTTTTCTCTCTGATGGGGTAATTTCAAATAACCAGTTTTCAAGTTCAAAAATTCTTTTTTCTGCTTGATCAAGTCTGCTGTTGAAGCTATCTAGTGTAATTTTTATTTTATTGCTTGGATTCTTCAGCTGCAGGATTTCTATTTGGCTCTTACTATTTTTACATCTTTGTTGAATTTGTAGTTCACATGATGAATTGTTTCCCTGATTTCATCGAACTATCTATCTGCCTGTATTCTTGTAACTCATTGAGTTTCCTTAAGATCATTGTTTTGAATGCCTTTTCTGGCAGTTACTTGATTTCTCTTCACTGGGGCCAGTTAGTAGAGAGTTATTTTGTTCCTTTGGTGATATATTTCCTGTCTTTTTATGTCTTGTGTCCCTTTGTGTTGATGTCTATGTATCTGGTAGAACAATTGCTTCTTTAAACCTTTCTAGCGTGGTTTTCATAGAGAAAGGCTTTTACCTGCAGTGGGTTTTAGTGTGCCATTGGGAAGGGTATGGAGACTTTCTGGATCAATGCATGGTATAGTCTCTGAAGTCTTCTTCAGCTGTGTTCAACATCAGCAATGACCGTGGACAACTCAGTAGCCGAGGCTTGGTGGGGACAGTGTAGGTTGTTAACATTCTCAGTTCAAGGGCTGTTGGGGTTCTTTGTATTGTCATTTTCCCCCATAATAGGAAGACTAGCCAGGGGGATTCCTCAGACTCTAGGGGGCCAGTTCATTTCCAGGGAAGCAGGCAATTGAGTTGTTTGGCCTATAGGGTGGGAGGTCTAGGCTAAGCTACTGCTGTTTCTCTGGGATGTGGGGCACTGTGTCAGCTCAGCCCTGGGGTGTGCAGCTGATCAGCTCTGCCAGGGCACTGATTCCCCTTGGGTGATGTGCTGCTTCTGCTCAGGCCTGAGGGACAGGACTGTCCTGGGTGCCCCAGGCATCATTTCTCTGGTTGCAGAGTGCTTCTTCAACTTGGGTTCCAGGAGGCACCACTGCTCTGAGCAGCCAAGGTGTTGTTTTCCCTGGAGGCAGTTTATGACTTTAGCTCCAGCCTGAGGGAGTGAGAGCAGGTGGTGGAGTGGCCCCACCTTTGCTTGGCCCCACAGAGTCGGGGTAACAGCTGCCTGCAGCTTGGCTGGGGGATGTGGAGCCACTGGGCTGGGGTGGTCGGGCAGCAGCTTAGCCTCAGGGGTAAAGGGGAGCCAGAGCTGCTCCCCCAGGAAAAAGACACACTCCAGCTGAGAATTCCAGTTCCAGGATGGCACTGCGAGGGCCACGGGCTGGGGGGGCACAGTGGTGGCTCCTTCTCTGGCGGGAGCACAGCAGTGTGGCCTCCAGGCAGCTCACTCCGCCCTGGGCTTCGTGCCTGTGAAGACTGCAGGGGACCCCAAAGATGAGGGTGCTGGGTGTCCACAGTGTTGGTGCAGACTGCTGGGTCTGATTACCTCCTCACCAAAGGGAGATGTTCTCCTGGGTTCCAGCCGACCCCCATTAGGGGATGGGGTGGCAGGGGCCTAGAGTTTCCTTCCATTCTTTTTGTGACTGTCACAAATTTCTAGGCTCACCAGGGTTTCTGTTGCTCGTCTGATGTGTTTTGGAGCTTTTGTGGGGATTTTCATTAACATTTCATGGCGTGTGGCTGGGCGTGGTGGCTCACACCTGTAATCCCAACTTTGGAAGGCCCAGGCAGATGGATCACCTGAGGTCAGGAGTTTGAGACCAGCCTGGCCAACATGGTGAAACCCCATCCCTACTAAAAATACAACAACAACAACAAAAATTAGCCAGGTGTGGTGGCATGTGCCTGTAATCTCAGCTACTTGTGAGGCTGAGGCAGGAAAATCGCTTGAACCTGGGAGGTACAGATTGCAGTGAGCCGAGACCACACCATTGCACTCCAGCCTGGGCAACAAGAACAAAACTCTGTCTCAAAAAAAACAAACAAAAAAAAAACCATTTCCTGGCTTGTTTACTGTTCTGGGTCTTTGTGAGGGACCCAGTGCTGGGGGTGTCCAGTCAGCTATTTCACTGATGTCATTACCCCCACGTTTTTCTTTTATTCCATATTTCTACTGTACCTTTTGTGTGTTTAGATACACAAACACCACTGTGCTACCGTTGCCTGCAGTATTCAGTGCAGTCACACGCTGCGCAGGTGTGCAGTCTGGGAGTGAAGCGCTGGGCCACTCAGCTTTGGCATGTTGCAGGCTCCACCGTCCAGGTGTGCGTGAGTCGTGGATTCTACTCCGGGCTTCGCTTTGCCTTTCTGGAACTAAGAATGAAGGGGGATGCTCCGTGCGTCCTGGTCTGTGGAGTCTGACTGTCGCACTCCATCTGAGGTTTGAGACTCCCCGGTTTCTCTGCCTCACATGATACTCTTTCCCTCTCCGGCTGGGTTGCACCCTCCACCCGCGTGGGCCCTGATTTGGGCATCCATCCACTCTTGCGAAATGCTGGCGCTGTTTCCAGTGTGGAGTGTTATGACAAGGCTCCTGTGAAGATTCTTCTCGAGCTTGTTTGTGGACAGCTGCCCCCCTCTCTTGGGCACACAGCTAGAAGGAGCATTGCTGGACCACAGGGTGGACATACGTTCAGCTTTATTAGAAATTGTCAAAATGCTTTTCAAGGTGATTGTACCGTTCACACCCCCACCAGCACCGTACAGGACTTCCCACTGCTCTCCACCCTTGCCAGCTGGAGCTTGGTACTGCGAGCCTTTTGAATGTTTGTCATCCTGGTGGGGTGTGGTGGTATCTCGTTGCGGTGTTAATTTGCATTCCCCTGACGTATACTGATTGTGTGCACATTTTCATATGCTCTTGGGCTGCGTGGATGTCCTCTCCTGTGAAGCATCTGCTCAAGGCACTGTCAATGCTTTTGTTCAGTTGTTTGTCATTTTCTTCATCACTTGTAATTCTTGATCTATCTGTACAGAAATCCTTTGCCATATAAATGCATTGCAAATATCTTCAGCAGACCCTGGCTTGCTCTTTCATTTTCTTGATGGTGCCTTCTAATGAATTTGTAGTAGATATAGTACTGTCATAGATATTCAGAGTTTTATATCTGCTTGTGTCAATTTTGGTACGTTGTGTTTTTCAAGGAATTTGTCCCTCCCTCCCTCCCTCCCTTCCTTCCCTCCCTTCCTTCTTTCTCTTTCTTTCTTTCCTTTCTTCCTTCCTTCCTTCTTTCTCTTTCTTTCCTTCGTCTTTCCTTTCTTCCTTCCTTCCCTCCCTTCCTTCTTTTTCCTTCCTTCCTTCCTTTCTCCCTCCCTCCCTCCCTTCCTTCCCTTCTTTTTCTTTCTTTCCTGCCTTCCTTCCCTCCCTCCCTTCCTTCTCTTTCTTTACTTCCTTCCTTCCCTCCCTCCCTTCCTTCCTTCCCTTCCTTCTTTCTCTTTCTTTCTTTCCTTCCTTCCCTCCCTCCCTTCCTTCTTTCTCTTTCTTTCTTTCCTTCGTTCCCTCCCTTCCTTCTTTCTCTTTCTTTCCTCCCTCCCTCCCTCCTTCCCTCCCTCCTTCCTTCCTTTCTGTGTCCTCTGTCGCCCAGGCTGGAGTGCAGTGGCACCATCTCGGCTCACTGCAATCTATGCCTCCTGGGTTCAAGCGATTCTCCTGCCTCAGCCTCCTGAGCATCTGGGATTACAGGCATGGGCCACCACACCTGACTAATTTTTGTATTTTTAGTAGAGACGGGGTTTCGTCATGTTGGCCAGGCTGGTCTTGAACTCCTGACCTCAGGTGATTTGCCCGTCTCAGCCCCTCAAAGTGCTGGGATTACAGGTGTGAGCCACCACGTCCAGCCAAATTTGTCTATTTCATCTGGCATGAAGTTGCTTTTAATTTTTATGAAGTCCAATCTGTCAATGTTTAATTTTACATCAGTGAGATTATCCAGTCCTGCCCAAGAAACCCCCCCGACCCCAGTGCCCGGTCCGGAGGCGTCGCTGTGTTTTCCTGCAGAAGCACCATCTGTGCCCCTCGTGCCCCGTCCCCTTTGGCTCTACGACCTGCTGCAAATTAGCTTCCATGTGTGGTGCAAAGGAAGGGCCAAGGTTCCTGATTTTCCCGATTGACATCCAGTTATCGCAGTACCACGGAGTGAAAACGCTTCCTCTCCACAGGCAGGCAGCTGTGTGTGTTAGGGGGTCTGCACTGTGAAGTCTGGATGTCAGCTGACCGTGTGTATTTTGGGGAATCTTCACTGTGAAGTACAGATGTCAGCTGACCGTGTATGTTAGGGGATCTTCACTGTGAAGTCTAGGATGTCAGCTGACCGTGTGTTTTGGAGGGTCTCACTGTGAAGTCTGGCTGTCAGCTGACCATGTGTGTTAGGGGGTCTTCACTGTGAAGTACAGATGTCAGCTGACCGTGTGTGTTAGGGGGTCTTCACTGTGAAGTCTAGGATGTCAGCTGACCGTGTGTTTTGGAGGGTCTCACTGTGAAGTCTGGCTGTCAGCTGACCATGTGTGTTAGGGGGTCTTCACTGTGAAGTGCAGATGTCAGCTGACCGTGTATGTTAGGGGATCTTCACTGTGAAGTCTGGATGTCAGCTGACCATGTGTGTTAGGGGGTCTTCACTGTGAAGTGCAGATGTCAGCTGACCGTGTATGTTAGGGGGTCTTCACTGTGAAGTCTGGATGTCAGCTGACCATGTGTTAGGGTGTCTTCACTGTGAAGTACAGATGTCAGCTGACCGTGTGTGTTAGGGGGTCTTCACTGTGAAGTCTGGATGTCAGCTGACCGTGTGTGTTAGGGGGTCTTCACTGTGAAGTACAGACGTCAGCTGACCGTGTATGTTAGGGGGTCTTTACTGTGAAGTACAGATGTCAGCTGACCGTGTGTGTTAGGGGGTCTTCACTGTGAAGTACAGACGTCAGCTGACCGTGTATGTTAGGGGATCCTCACTGTGAAGTCTGGATGTCAGCTGACCGTGTGTGTTAGGGGTTCTTCACTGTGAAGTACAGACGTCAGCTGACCGTGTATGTTAGGGGATCTTCACTGTGAAGTCTGGATGTCAGCTGACTGTGTGTGTTAGGGGGTCTTCATTGTGAAGTACAGATGTCAGCTGACCGTGTGTGTTAGGGGGTCTTCACTGTGAAGTACAGATATCAGCTGACCGAGTGTGTTAGGGGGTCTTCACTGTGAAGTCTGGATGTCAGCTGACCATGTGTGTTAGGGGGTCTTCACTGTGAAGTCTGGCTGTCAGCTGACCGTGTGTGTTAGGGGGTCTTCACTGTGAAGTGCAGATGTCAGCTGACCGTGTATGTTAGGGGGTCTTCACTGTGAAGTCTGGACGTCAGCTGACCGTGTGTTTTGGAGGGTCTTCACTGTGAAGTCTGGATGTCAGCTGACCATGTGTGTTAGGGGATCTTCACTGTGAAGTACAGATGTCAGCTGATCGTGGATGTTAGGGGGTCTTCACTGTGAAGTCTGGCTGTCAGCTGACCGTGTGTGTTAGGGGGTCTTCACTGTGAAGTCTGGCTGTCAGCTGACCGTGTATGTTAGGGTATCTTCACTGTGAAGTCTGSATGTCAGCTGACCGTTGTTTTGGAGAGTCTTCACTGTGAAGTCTGGATGTCAGCTGACCGTGTGTGTTAGGGGGTCTTCACTGTGAAGTCTGGCTGTCAGCTGACCGTGTGTGTTAGGGGGTCTTCACTGTGAAGTCTGGATGTCAGCTGACCGTTGTTTTGGAGGGTCTTCACTGTGAAGTCTGGCTGTCAGCTGACCGTGTATGTTAGGGGGTCTTCACTCTGAAGTCTGGATGTCAGCTGACCATGTGTGTTAGGGGGTCTTCACTGTGAAGTACAGATGTCAGCTGATCGTGTGTGTTTTGGGGGGTCTTCACTGTGAAGTCTGGACGTCAGCTGACCATATGTTGTGGGGTCTTTACTATGAATTTCCAGTGTTACCTGGGGCATTTCCATATATATCCTTTACCAGACTCGGTAACCTCCTGCTTCCAGTTTGTTGATAGGTTTCATTGTGAACCAACTGAATTTTATAAATTTTTTTTCCGAGTCTACTGAGTTGACTATATGGTTTTTGTTCTTTATTTTACCAGTGACTACAGGTACAAGCCACCACACCTGGCTAGATTGTAAAAAAATTTTTGTAGAGATGAGATCTTGCCATGTTGCCCAGACTGGTCTTGAACTCTTGGGCTCAGGCAATCCTCCTGCCTTGGACTCCCAAAGTGCTGGGATTACAGGTGTGAGCCCCGGCATCCGGCCACCTTTTCATATGTTCTGAGTTTGGTTTACTGGAACTGTGTTTAGGATTTCTGCGCAGTGTGCCTTCTGTGGGAACACAGGCAAGACTGCATTTGTTCCTCTTCCTTAATAGTTTGCTGGAGCCTCGGAGCCAGGATGACGCAGTGCCCTTCTGAGCAGGAAGGTGGAGTGGCGTCTGATACCCTGAGGTTGCCATTTCAGGTGACTGGGGGGTGTGGGGGAATCTGAGCCTTACAGAGTGAAGGAAGACAACATTCCAGTTCTTCTCAGACAGTTATTAGCCGGGGACATTTCACACCGGGAGTGTCAGACTTTAAATAAACCTGGAAGTGACTCACCCTCAGTCTGGCAGAAGCTGTCTCCTAAAACCTCCTAGGGCAAAAATGAGATGTAAGTCAGCAGTCTTCATAACACCAGGAAGCTTCGGGGTCTGGGTGCACGGCTTGATTTTTAGGGAGTGGCACAGTGCTTCTGTCCCAGGCCCCTGGGCTCTCCCAGAAGGGCTCTGAGGAAGAGCAGAGAAGGCACTTTGTTCCCCACTCATTCACAGATTCCCTGGGCACCAATTCGGCACCAGCCCAAGACCACGTTCTGTGGGATGCTAGAGAAGCAGAGACCAGGTCCAACTGGAGAGCCTCCTGTGTGGACACATTTGCTCTCCACCCCAAGGAAGAAAGAACCCCAGCAGCACTCGACATCTGCCTGGCAGGCCGAGTGTCCGAGGGTGCCACATCACACCAGGTGCACACCATGCCTGCTGAGACGGGCGGGCCCCGCAGGGCAGAGTCCTGGCCAGCACCCCCACCTGCGGCTTCCCTTTCAACTCAGCTTGAAGTCCTGCCGTTTACCTGATGCTGGGCCAGGGTACTTACGGGTCAGCCGGTGTAACTGTTACTGTGCATTATTCATATAACGAACGGGCAAGCGCTTTAGGTTAGCAGAGTAAAGTAGGGACGTGACAAAGCTGGAAACCGTGAGAGAGAAAGGGCGCCAGCGACAGTGGGAGGGTTAATCTGTGGCACTTGGGTCCCCGAAAGGAAGGAATGAGAGTATGAGCAGAAGAAATATTTAAAGAGGTAATGACTGATAATGACGTAAAACTGATGTCAAACCCCAGATTGTAGATGCCCCACAAATGCCACGCAGGATAAACTGAAAGAAAACCTCACCCTCACCTAGAGGGAAAATTTGGAAAACCAGGGATAAAGGAAAAAAATGAAAGCGAAACAAAGGACATTTGAGTGAGGCATTGAGTCATCCGGCCAAACGCCCACCCGCAGAGACCAGCCACGAGCTGCCCGGCACAGACACGTGTTATTTCGAATCGAACCTCTGAGCTGTGAGCTGGCTCATCATCCAGCAAAAGCTGACTGAGAAGATCTCTGTTTCATTCCAGCATCCAAAGTGAAAGACAAAACAAAATTTTTCTAAGAAAATATAGTTATGACCTTGAGATACACGAAAAGCACGAAACATGAAGGCAAAGATCGGTAAGCTGGACCATGTTAGAATTCAGATGTTTTGCTGTCTAGTGGACACCATGAAGAAAGTGAACAGGGGCCGGGCGCGGCGGCTCACACCTGTAATCCCAGCACTTTGGGAGGCTGAGGCAGGTGGATTTTTTGAGGCAAGGAGTTCGAGATCAGCCTGGCCAACATGGTGAAACCCCATGGCAACTAAAAATACAAACATTAGCTGGGCATCATGGCAGGAGCCTATAATCCCAGCTATTTGGGAAGCTGAGGCACGAGAATTATTTGAACCTGGAAGGCAGAAGCGTACAGTGATCGCACCACTGTACGCCAGCCTGGGCAACAAAGCAAGACTTCATCTTAAAAATAAAATAAAAGGCTGGGCACAGTGGCTCACGCCTGTAATCCCAGCACTTTGGGAGGCTGAGGCAGTTGGATCATGAGGTCAGGAGATGAAGAGCATCCTGATCAACACGGTGAAATCCTGTCTCTACTGAAAATACAAAAATTAGACGGGAGTGGTGGTGGGTGCCTATAGTCCCAGCTACTTGGGAGGTTGAGGCAGGGGAATTGCCTGAACCTGGGAGGCGGAGGTTGTGGTGAGCCGAGATCACGCCACTGCACTCCAGCCTGGGTGACAGAGTGAGATTGCATCTCAAAAATAAAAATAAAAATAAAAAAGAGAAAGAAAGAAAAAAGAAAAGAAAGTGAGCAGAAATGCCACGGAGTAGAGGGAGGTATTCGCAGCAGGTGCAACCACAGAGGTGTTACAGACAACTCGTAGTGAGAAGCCCTGCAAACCCAGAAGGGAAACAGCACAGTGGAAAAGGCGCAGACACCTCCAGCTTCACAAAAGAGGACGTTCGAACGAGCGGTGAAAAGTCAAAGGTGAAATGCCTCAGGACCCACCAAGGAAACAAAAGTTAAATCTCAACAAGATGCCCCTGCGTGACAGAATGGCTAAACTGTGACATTGTCGATGACCATGGGGAGTGACAAGGACCCCAGAGGACAGCGGGCAGGAATGTGAACAGGCTCAGCCTCCTTGGGGGGCTGCCTGGCCCCCTTTTGTGAAAGCTGAGCACGTCCCCCGGTACCGATCCAGCAATTCATGTCCTACGTTCTCATGCATAGACAGGTGCACGTGTGTGCTCAGATGTGGGAAAGAGGGAGCAGCCACCTGCTCACCAGCAGAGGGGAGGTAAGAGGCGAAGCAGTAAGAGCCAGCGTGGGAATGAGCAGGCTGCAGTGGCACACGGGACAGCCACGCATGTGACGGCAGCGTGGGGAGCAGAGGAAACAAGACATGGGGGAAACTCACCCGGATGACCGTGGGGGGCACCAGGAGGGCTCGTGGGTGTTGCAGAATTCTGCTGCTCTCAGGGCATTGTGGTAACTGGCTAGCTGCCCCCTTATGCTCTGTGCACAGCTCTGTATGTAACACTATAACAAAAGTTAAAGAACAAACAGTGCAGACAAACTCACTACCTCAGGCCTCCACTGCCGCAGACCTTCCACGGATTTGTCAAAGCCACGGAGTTTCCTGGGACTTCACAGACCCCCTCCTACGGCACCTCACTCCTGGACTGTCCTGAAATGAGGACAACACGGTATTCCAAAGTCATTCGTGCTAAACGGGCACCGCTGCAGAGCACATGCCCCTGGCCTTTCTCAGACTCATCTGCACGTCCCCCACCTCCCGGCAGCCCTGGCCTGTGGACCCCGTGCCTGCTGGCCTCCCCAGCCCCTCCTGCCCCTTGGCATTTGCACGGCCGCGTCTGTCCTGGGCCAGGCGGAGAGTGGCGAGGACCACACAGCAGCTGTGCCCCAGCCAACAGCCGCCTCGTCCTAGGAGAGCCAGCTCCGCCTGCCCCACGCGTATGACCACCTGCACGACAGGCTGCCTGGGAGCCCAAGTCCGCTTGCCCACCCAGAGGAGCCAAGTGTCTGCTGAAAATGCCCTTCGCCACCTTTCCCACACAGGGTCTGGGTTTCCATCAGCCCCACCCCTCCCCAGGCTCCCGGCCAGGATGCAGATCCATGCCCACCCACTGTTTTCTGTGTGTGCCACGTCACCTCAAAGGACAATGAGTGTCACAAGGATTCAGAAAAGCTGGACATTTAAATGACATTTACATCACATTTTTAAATTAAACGGTTGTTTAAGACATTGCTAAAGTTTTGGTATTTGGAATGAGTGTTTGTTTCTGTTCTGTAAGTTATATACATGGGTATAAAATGCCTTGGGCAGAGGCACCCACACCCACGTCCCGTGTGGCATCATCCCGGCTTTGTGATCTTCAGCAGGTCACTGCATCTTGGACGTCTCGTGGCCCCGGGGTCTCTGCCCTTTCCCTTCAGGGCCTGCATCCGTGGCTAGTGAGGGTGGGTCACGAGGGGCGAGTCCCTCCGGAAGGCAGCTGCTGGGGACAGGTAGCTGTGCACCCACATTGGCGTTCCTGGAATCACTGCCCCACCAGTGTGAAGGACCACAGGGCAGACACGCGTGTATGTCCTCTGCACCAGGTGTCAGCCCAGGGGCCTCCCCAGCAGGGTCTGCACATGCTCCACTCCCGCTGCAGCCCCAGGGCCAGGTGGTGGCTTCGTCTTCCTGTGGATCCTATGCTCATCTGGGGCATCCACAGGGATGAGAGATGGCAGCATTTGATGAGGCCTCATGGCCGCGCAGAGAATGCCGTGAGAACCAGCCTTGGCAGCCTTGACCCTGGGAAGGGGCTCAGGGTCAGCTCCACTGTCCCTCCTCACCCTCTGGCAAGCCGAGGCCTGGAGCAGTGGCAGAGGTGGCGCTTCCTCAGGCCGTGGGCAGCCACTCCCTCCAAGCCTCTCCTCCTCTCTCCCTGTCCCCCCATCCGCTCGTTCTCCTTCCCTGCTTTTCTCCCCTCTTCTCCACGAGGTTTTTTGCAAGAGCCTGCTGGACACCAGGAGTCATGGCTTAGCCAGAGCCACAGAGGTGTGTCCTGGCGATGGAAATTCACGGAGGAAGCTTTCTGACAGGAAGTTTGCCCAAGCCGGCCCTGCGCGCCTCAGCCTGGCTGCTTGCTTGACAGCTGGTACGCAGCTCTGCTTAAATCACCTTCCACAGCCTGCAGTGCCATTTGGTTCTCACAGTGACCTTGAGACCAAGTCAGGACATGGATGTCCCAGTCTTGCATGTAGAGAGGGAAACTGAGGCCCAGAGACAGTGCGTGCTGAGCCAGGCAGCTGGAGGTGCCCATGTAGGGGAGTGTCCTCCCAGGCAAACCTGAACCCTGACTTGGGAGAGTGTGCGTGCCTGGGGGAGAAGGACGGGGAGTCTCAAGGCCCCCCTCCTGGACTTGGGATGTCACTGACCAGTGACACCTATAACTCTTAAGAAAAACAGTGCAGTCATACCCACAGGGTAAGAATGATCTCGAGTGGGCCACTGAGCAGACTCAAGTTCCAACCCCGAGGTGGTGTCTGGGCCGCCCCGAGGGCTCAGCAGGCTGGTGTGCACAGCCTGGCCTTCCTTCTTTACCTTCTCCCTGAAGCAGGTCACTCGGAGGGGGGCAGATTTCCCATAACTCAGGAAATAAATATCTTTGCTTTGTAAAACACTCTCAAGCAAAGTATGTGATGGGAGCTTAAAGAGAAAGAATCAGCTTAAGCCAAAGACTCTGGTTTCCAGTGACAGCAGCAGGAAGTACAATGCCCCATGTCTTTAGGACCGAGGCTTTAATCCGAAGCCTCCCCTCACAGAGATAGAAACTCTCAGGAAGGATAAGTCACTTCATCCCTGTCAGAATCTTCCCTGGATTTTTCTCCCTTGAACGTTTTAATGCCGAGCTTTGTCCAAGATGAGTGTCATTTGTCACAGAGAGTGATGCAGTGTGGCAGGGCGCTGGGGCGCTGGGGGTTAACTGGCTCTGCGAGGAGTCCTGGGGGCCTGGCACCCTGGGAAAGGCATTGCAGGACATTACAGTGCAGCTGTAACACTGAGCTCATAATCCAAGGGCTTATGGGGACCTGTCCTAGCTTTGGACTGATTAAAATTCTGCTTTTAAAGTGTTTCAGAGGAGCAGGGGCACCTGGGGGTGTGTGGCTTGTTTTGCTGTTTCTTTTCTTTTGCTTTTAAGTAAAATGTGGTAACGTTCCTGGGACAGTGCTCTCAGCAATGTGACCAGGTGACCAAGGTGTCCAGGTGGCCAGGAGTAGGCAGGGGTCCTGGGGATGGGAGCTGGGTAGCCTCCTCTCCTCAGAAAGCAAGGTCACCAGCCTCACAGACAGCACCATCCGATTTCCTTTCAGTGCTCGGGGACTGTGAGCCCATGAGGACGGGGCTCCGCAGGACGCACCCATGTCTTCCCCGTGCTCAGTGCCTGGGTGGTGCTTCAGGGTCTTTGCTGAGTCAGTAAGAGGTGGCATCCCCTCACAGTCTCTCTGTGGACCAAGGGCTTGTGAACTGGGAAGCAAGGTACCCATGGAGTTGTGGTGTTTCTCTTGCCAGTCAGGGCCCCGGTCATGGAGGCTGCCCCTGGACTGGTCTGCAGCATTGACCAGCATTGTGGTGACTCAGCAAAGCTACTCCTTCCAGGTACCCAGGGCTGGGTAACCAGCAGCCGGACACCTGGCGCCTTAGAGCAATGGCAACGGTGTCTGTTCTGTCTGTGTTGCTTCTGTGTTGGTGGGGCTCAGCTGGCTGGCTCTCGCATGCCCTGGATGGTGCCAGGGAATCACAGAGGCTCATTCACCTGTGCCTGGCCCAGGGCTGGGGTGGGGACTGCAGCCATCCAGTGGGTTCACCTTATTGGCTGCCTGGACAGAGCTGATTTATCAAGACGGGGGAACTGCAATGGAGAAAGAGTAACTCACACAGAGCCGGCTGTGCAGGAGACCCAAGAGTTACCATTGCTCAAATCAGTCTCCCCAAGCATTCGGCGACTGGAGTTTTTAAAGATAATTTGGCGGGTAGGGGCTTAATAAGTGAAAAGTGCTGATTGGTCAGGCTAGAGATGGTCAAAGTGAGTTTTTCTTGCTGTCTTCCGTTCCTGGGTGGTGTGGCAGAACTGGCTGAGCCAGATGACTGGTCTGGGTGGTGTCAGCTGATCCACTGAGTGCGGGGGTTCACAGAATACCTCAAGCACTGATCTCAGGTTTTACAATAGTGATGTTATCTGTTATCGAGCAATTTGGGGAGGTTCAGACTCTTGCAGCCAGAGGCTGCGTGACCCCCTAAAGCACAATTTCTAATCCTGTAGCTAATTTGTTAGTTCTGCAAAGGTAGCCTGGTTCCAAGGCAAGAAGGAGGTCTTTTCAGGAAAGGGCTTTTATCAATTTTGTTTCAGAGTCAAACCATGAACTGAATTCCTTCCCTAGGTTAGTGGAGCCTATGCCCAGGAATGAACAAGGACAGCTTAAGGGTTAGAAGCAAGATGGAGTTGGTTAGGTCTGATCTCTGTCACTGTCATCATTTCCTCAGTTACAATTTTTGCAAAAGCAGTTTCAGAACAGCCAGGCCCTGTGGAACCCGTCTGCCTCCACGCTCTCTCCAGCATGGCTCCCTTCAGGCCAGTGGAGGTTTTACATTGCGGCTTGGGGCCCCAGAGAGACAGAGCCGGGCAAAAGCTGACTTGTGTTTTCTAGGCTGGCCTCAGAGGCCATGTGGCATCTCCCACACTGTCTTCTGAATTGATGCGGCACACAAGTCCAGGTGGGGCCAAGGGGCGCGGACACAGGCCTTGCCTCTTTACGGGCTAGTAGCAAGTTCTGGAAGGATGTTTGGTCAGGCACACTGTATTAATTTTGGAAAATACAAGCCGCCACATTCCTCTAATGCCTCCATGCTTATTTTCCTCATCTCTGCCACTGGGAGAATGATGAATACTGATCTATAGGTCAGGCAGTTGAACACTGGCAAGCTCACACAGTTTCACCTGATCAGAACGGCCGCCTTCATGTGGCCATTGCCATGTGCTGGGCACTAATGATTTATGTCTGTTTGCTCATCCTCTGGCCAGCCCCAGAGAGGGACTGTTATTACTCATGTCTTCCCGTTGGGGTCCCAGGCAGGGCTTTACTTTGTACGTTTATTGTGGGAATGAATGAACAGTTTCTGGATGAAACCGCTGGCCAACTGCACTTTCTTATCTGATGCTTCTGATTTCTCTTTGGTGTTTTGTATATTTTTTGGCTCTTTAAATTTTTTTTAAATCCTTTAGCTTGATGAGTGGGCTTTAAGCTTTTCAGGCCATCCAGCCCATCACTTAAAAGTATCTGAGCAAATTTCCCCAAATATATGAAATCTAATTAAAAATATACTAAAAACATGCACAAATGTGAGAAAGGATGAGATAAAATGAAATAAACCACATTTCCAAATGTTTCACTTAGTATTAAAAACATTGTGCGCTCAATTTAACATTTCAGTAATGTGACATTAATGATCATAATCCTGTTTAGGGAATGAACGTCAGCTTCCTTATCTTAAAGGCCGTGGCTTAGTGTGCTGTGAAACTGCGGCTTCAAGAGTCTGTTCTAAAACTAACTTGTTGGAATAGTTGGCTGCAATAGCTAAAAAGAACACCTCAAAAATATGCAAATTTAAATTAAAAAGTGGATTGCTGGCTGCACTTACAGAATCATAATATTCTTTTTTTCACTCCATCTATTGAATATGCACCGGCTTTTGATGAAATTCAGCTGGAAAATTTCCGTCTACCCTGATACCAATCCCCGTTCCTGAAAACTAATTGGAAAGAGTTGCATTCATATATTTTTAACAAATGGGCTCACGGCTCACTGAAATCTTTTATTTAGAATACTTTTTTAACAGATTAAAAAATATTTCTATATCTTAAGGATGAGTGAACACGAGAGCTGTTACAGGTGACAAGTTTAACAGGTTTTGGCAAGAAGGTCACATGTCATTCAGAAACCATTCCAAATGTCTCTTTCCCAAGCAGCCTCTCAGGCACCTGCCTCTAAGGGCACTTACTTTCTTACTGATTGCTAAAAACTTCATTTTTACCTAGAAGGGAGAGAGATGATGTCAGCAATTTCACCTTTCGTTAAGACTGCCAGTAGCACCGTGCTCTTGGGCCTGCCTGGAGCCTGTGAGGATGCCTGCGCTGTGTCCAGAGGCTGGAGAGCCAGGAGGGTCTGTCGCCTCTTCTACGTGTGGCGTGTGCGGCTCCATACCCCAGGCTGTGGGGCTGTGTGTGCGTGTGTCTCTTACAGCCACTTATCCATCTGGTGGATAGTGAGTGAGACATGTGCACACCCACGCCATCAGGTTCACCTCACCTGGACCTCAGGGATTCCACCCAGAGCCTGTCTATCTGACCTGCCTCTCCTGTAGTAGGACAGGAAATCCGTGGGGCCAATGGGATGTCTTCACCTGGATCCCACACTCTTCCCCTGGGGACCACATCCTGGGTCCCTGAAGCCTGGAACTTCCTGACAAACAACTAGGATAGCTTTCAAGCCCGTGTGGGCCCCTAAGGCAGAGCCTGTTGCCAGCCTGTGGCCAAATGGTGGCTGTTTGCAAAGCGTGGCAGATAGGCCACCACCACGATGCTTCACAGCCCTAGGCTCAGATCAGGGCGCGGGGACAGGAATCCCCCATATCCTCCCACAGACGCAGCTCTGCTGTCTCAGCTCCGTCTTCCACAGTCCCCATACCCCTCCCCATGAGGCTCATCTCATGTTCCAGGCTTATTCCGGCTTCTCGCTCCAGCCCCCTGCATCCCACAGCGTCCTTCTGTGTTCACTCTCCTTCTTGCTGGGCTATAACATTCAGTGGTCACTTTGGACTGACCCTGACCTCAGCTCCCATTTGGATGACAAATCAGCTGGGGCCCTTCTCTGGGGTCTGCTCCCCTCCTGGGCCCATTCTCAGAGGTCCGCTCCCCTCCAGGGCCCATTCTCAGGGGTCTGCGCCCCTTCTGAGCCTGTTCTGGGTGGTCCGCTCTCCTCCGGGGCCCATTCTCTGGGGGTCTGCTCCCCTCCTATTGGGGAAGAAGTCGCTCTTTCTCCGGCATCTGAGGCTGCTGCTGGCTCCTCCTGTCGCTCTGGTCCTTCCTCCTTGATGGCATCTACCTTTTCCCTCCAGCTACCTTCACGCTCCTCTTTGCTTTTGGGATTCTGTGTTTTAATCTCGCCCAAGCCTTAGAGAGCTGCTGTCCTTGTGTTCTATCTTCAGTCATTTCTGTTACTGGCTGAGTGGTGTCCTCGCCCTCCCCAAATTCCTGTGTTGAAGTCCTAATCCCCATGGCCTCAGAATGGGACTGCAGTAGAAGACGGGGCCTTTAAATAGGTCGCTGATTTAAAATGGGGACGTTAGGGTGCCCTCACCCAGTGTGATCAGTGTCCTTGTAAGAAGAGAGGGTGAGGACACGGACACCCAAGAGGGATGACCCTGTGAGGACGCTGGGAGAAGACACCATCTGCAAGCCCAGGAGAGAGGTCCCAGAGGAACCAGCCCATGGCACCTGGACCTTGGACTTCCAGCCTGCAGGACTGGGAGAACCAGCGTGCCTCAATAAGCCACCCAGTCTGTGGCACTTCTCACAGCAGCCCGAGCAGACGAAGTCATCTCAGATTCTGAGAATTTGGAGTTACACCTCTTGGAACATCGCGTTCTTGCCCTCTATCACTGCCTGCTGTGGCTGGAATATGTGTCCCCCAGATTCATGTGTGGGATCCTGAGCTAGGGTTAAGAGAAGGGGACTTTAGGAGGTCATCAGGCCACGAGGGCTGTGCCCCTAGGCGTGACACTTCTTTCCTTTTTCTTTTTAGAGACTGGGTCCGATTCTGTTGCCCAGGCTGTAGGGCACTGGCGCAATCCTGGCTCACTGCAGCCGTGACCTGCTGGGATCGAGTGATCCTCCCACCTCGGCCTCCTGAATAGATAGGACGACAACATGCACCACCATACCTGGCTAATTTTAACATTTTCTGTAGAGACAGGATCTTACTATGCTGCCCAGGCTGACATGAGGTGAGCGCCTCCGCACCGTGAGCCATAAACTCATGCTGTGTGCAGCCTGCCCTCCTCAGTTGTTTTGTTACAGCAGCGGGAACGGGCTCAGACGCTGCCTCTGCCCGATTGGCTCATTCTGCTTTTCACATCTTGCCATGACCCATCTCCTGAATATTTGAAGGCCTTTCTGCATTCTAGTGTGCCAGATCTCATTTCTACGGTGTTTTATCTGCTTCTGGCCTTTCCTTTGAGTTTTTAGGTTCTGTGATAATATTGTTCATTTCCTAACCATTTGCTTATTCGTGTTGCCATTTATCTTATTATTGTTTTGATTCGTTAATGCATCTCTCGCTCTGGGGGACACAAGACCGACATTCCTCACCCCCGATGCTTTCTCGTGCGTTTTTCTCCCTCGCGTGGCTTGGACATCTTTCTTTAGGACGAGCTTGTCTTTCAGGCCCCATGCATGGGGCCCTCTTTCGTAGGACCATGTGCCTGCTCTTCCCCCACATTTCTTATTCCAATGTTCTGATTTTGCCCCTTTTGGGTTGCTTGCCTACAAGCCTGTGAAGATACTTACCATCCGGTGCTTAGCATTCGTGCCGCAGAACTGGAGCACTGAGTGCTGCGTGCACAGCTCTCACCAGGAGACTTCCCGCACCCAGAGGGCTGTAGGATGGCAGTGTCCATGCCCAGCTGGAACCAACACACCGTGCTGCTGCATCTGTGTTTCCGGCTTCCTCTGTCACTTAACACAGGAAACCCCTGTGAGAGCACAGCTGTGAGCAGAGGCAGAGCAATGGTGCCATGGAGGCAGGCAGCATGGAGTCCACAGCACCCAGAACTCGCCTGTGCCCTCTGAGCCTGCTCAGACGGTTTCCCTCTTGTGCTGGGCTGTCCCTGCACTTGCCTGTCTAGGCTCGGGGCACTAATGGTAGCCAGCTTACACGGCAGCTCTGCTCACACAGTCACTTGACGTCGAGTTGGGTAGTCAGTCTCTGCTAATGCCCCAAGCGTGCCCACATTGCTTTCCAGGTGGAGGGTAGCTCTCTGGCACTGCAGGCATGGGCTTGCTGGAGAACTCTGAGGGATGTTCCGTGACTGTCATATCCAGATTCACCAGAAACACTGCTGTGCTGTTCTCTCCACAGGTACTTCC